AGTCAGGACCTCGGTTTTACGTCTCATCCGAAGGACGTCGCCTGTTTACAGTATAGTGTCCCCTTCACTATACTGGGGCATTAGGATCCACACAGACCACAGGGTGAGCGCCCCCTGCTGGCCTCACTAACACCTCTTCCAGCAGCAACCTTAGTTTTTCCCAGGACGTCTCCCATCTAGGTACTGACCAGGCTCACACCTGCTTAGCTTCAGTGGGTTGCCAGTTGTGAGTTGCAGGGTGATATGGCTGCTGTGGTGTACTGGTGGGGCTGCACACTGGTGGAGAGGAGTCCCCATTACCTGTAAAGCACTTTGAGTGGAATGTCCAGAAAGGCACTATATAAGTGCAAGGAATTGTTATTAATTATTATTATTGTTATAGGTTGTGGTTGCTTTAGCCACTCCATGGATGAGACTGTCCAATTGCAGAAGTGTGTAGTACAGTAAGAGATTGCAGGGACTGTAGTGTAAGTCAGCCTCACGGTCTCTGTATGAATTAGTACACATCTTTTAAATCCATTCAAACAAGGTGCTCACCCTCCTTATCCACCCTTTCCAAATCGAGCAATGTCTCTTTTAGATTATATAACCTTATCTAAAAGTTCATCTTTCAAGATGAACACAATATTTCTTTGAAACATAATAATAATAATTTCCTTCATGGATCACCAAGAAGGTCAGCTAGATGTGACTGGGGATAATAGTTTAAACTATTGTTTAAACTTGTTTCGCTACAGGCTTATAGGCACTGTAGAGCATATGAAAACCCTTAAGGACTTTGGACATCTGTTGGCAAGAATACTTCTTTTCAGCTCAGAGCTGTTAAATTTCTCGGGAAAAGAACTCTCTTCCCTCTCCTGATGCAGCTGATGAAATAACTTTGTTAACAGAGACCCATTCAGGTCAAGGGAACTGGAGAGGTGTGAGTGTGGGGGTTGGTTCTTCTATCAGAGAGATGTGAGAGTGCTGGTACATCTCTGCCCCTCATAACATCCCTGTTCACAGAGAGCAGCTTTGAAGTGGGGGTCTGATATGTAGCAATGCAAATGCAGCAAAGCAAACATTCACCAGCCTCCAGCTGTGTCTGTGTAATGTGAACATTTGAAGAATGGGTGTAGCAGCATAGGTTTGGAGCTTTAGATCTTCATACTGATAGTGAGCCTTGCACATGAATGAATTTCAGTGAACTAGTGGTAGAGCACAATAATCAGGACTGTCATGTGGGATGTGACAGGCTGTTGTTGTACCCTTAAGTAAGGTATTCAACTAAGGTTGCTCCAGAAAATGCCTTGCTGTCTCAATGGATACCCTCTGTCCTATCAATTGTAAATGAGAATTTGTTCTCAAATGAATTGTGAAATACTGAAGTTTTATTATTATTTAAAATAATCTAAGCACTTCTGGAAGCAAAAACGGCTCACCACCAATACCCCTTGTGACCTCAGCACCTTGTGGCTGTTTTGAGACATAGTGAGATTCTATCCATTCTTTTCATTAAGTGGCTCACTGTTTTAAAATCATGCCCATGAAACAGTGGAAATTGACTACTTTTCAAACAGCATGACAGACATTCTACATACTGTCTGCATCAGGCCCTTCTTCAGCGCCAACATCCTATATACAGGTGTCTCTGGGTCCTTCAGCATTTCTTCAGTGTTCTGTTATCATTGTTCTGAAGGCTATCTACTGTATTTAGAGACAGTCAGGCTCTGTACCTGTTGAGTTTTAACAACCCTGAACTTTTTCTCATGACTTGCAGCTGTTTGTAGATACGGTATACAGGAAAGGGTCCTAATAAATGCAGGACTCTCTAGAATGGCTGAGTTTAAAAAGCAGTGCAGAGGACATCTGAAATCAATTTACTCACAGAAGTCTCCCCGGCTCCTCACACCTGGAAAGAATTAAAAGGCAGCATGGCTGAAGAAATACCTCCCCTGGGTTGTGCAAGCAAGCAGTGTGCATCTTTGATATCCCGACAGAAATAGAGGGTGAAGAGTTCAGCCCAGCACATATTTTCCTACAGAAAAGCAGTTTGTTTTCAGGACAGTACAAGTTTTTTTAAATATCTGCCTTGATAAATATTAGCTGTATTTCAGATGAGCATTTTTTTCTTCTTGTTTAATCACATGAAAGAATTTTGGACTCTTTTTAAGGATTGATTGAAGAAGAAGATGTCAGAATAATTACATAAACAAATTCACCAGAACCTCTTTCTTGTACCTAAATAGTTCTATTCATGTGGTATGTAGTCTAGGTATTTTGTCTGTTGTCTTTGTTTTACTATGTTAAAAACTGGTCTGGTTGGGTTGTTATTAAGCAAGTTCAATAAAGTTAGATAACTAATCAGAGTTAAAACTAATGCAGTTGCTTTGGTCAAATTTTAGATTAAGTAACATATATGAAAGATAAATAGATTTTCTATTAATCAATAAATTGCTACAAACTGAGGTTCTGTAGAGAGTTATGAAGGCATTTTTAGGGTTTGAATCATAATTTGTGTTGGTGTGATCATTAGTCTGTATGTATAGATACTTTATCAACATTATAGAACCTTTTGTGATGAATTGATATTTGATAGGATATGTCTTGAATTCATATTTATGAATCTTAATCCAAAGCCTTACTGCTGCATCTAATGCAAGTGGAAATTATCCTCATTAAGTGATCAAGTCAAGAAATTGTAAATAAATCTTGGGTCTGCTTGCTATTGAAAGAGAGGGAATGTGTTTCTCTAATCAGGTCTTGGTATTTTGCAGCCATAGCAAACATTTTGAATGATATCTCCTCTTCTAAAAAACATGTAAACCCAAGTGGAAGCAGCACAGCTACATTTGTTCTGTCACATCACAGGCTGTATCTGTCTGTCTATCTGTCTGTCTAGCTGTCTATCTGTCTGTTTTTTCAAAACACCAATTGGCGTATCAGTGACAGAAGAGCTTGGTTTTCTGAACCCTGCAGAGAATTCCACACAGGACTTTCAGGAATCGGGCTTGGCAGGATTTCGCTTTGTAGATACAGTTTTTGCCATGAAAGGTACATCATATGTGGTGTTGAGTCTTTTTAGAACTTCTTTATTTTTTTACAGTCTCGCATCAGTGTGTCAGTGCAAACTTGATTTCAGAATCAGTAGCTGTTGGGACCTACAGTGATAAGAACAAACTTGTTAGCGTTGTCATCCTTAAGCATATACCAAAAAACAGAATATTTCAAATTCTCTTTGAAACGTAGTGCTCTATACCTCATGATTTCCTTGCTCTTTAGGAAGTGGACATGTGATAAATAGTTGCTGGTATGGTTTCCTGGTTATGTTCCTGCAGATTCCAGTGCCACTGTAACAGAAAAAATGTGCTGTACTTTTATTCAATTAAATAGTCAAACATTTTCTAATTAAAAGCTTTCTGTGTTGCAAACCCCTTAAGGGAAAACTTACCATCCTGGCCACCATCATTGAGCTTATATTAAGACTTGTTTTTGTACTGTTGTCCGATGAAGATGCATTTGTAACTGATGACTCTACACCCAGCAATCCTGATTTCTGTTCGGGGGTGTCCTAACGACTTTGATTTAAGGTTAAAATAAAAAAAGAAAGGTAGTGCTTTAAAAAAATCTGGTTTGTTTTCAAATGGAGAGGAGAATTCTGTCTCTGTTTAAAGAACCATTAAAGATTCAAATACAATAAAAAATGTCTAAATTACATTTTTTGGTCTATGCTTGTAAAATGAAGGGTCAGAAATTCAGTGACCCATGAAATGTCTGCCATCTGCCCAGGGCGGTTCTTCATGGCAGAACATTTTTTCTAAATCCCTTGGGGGCTGTATTTCAGCATGTATATGTGACAGCAGGAACTGATTACAATTCAACCTCTGTTTTTGTCATATTACTTGAAAGACCTGTAATATCATACTCCAAGAAACCCTCTTGGCCAACTTTATTTTGTTTTTGGAAGCCCTGTCAATATGTTCTGAAGATTAAAGCCAGAGAATGGCTTTCAGTTTATGGTCCTGCCTGCAAATAAAAAAAAGGGGAAAACAGAAATGTTAGATGGCGCCGTCCTTCGGATGAGACGTGAAAACGAGGTCCTGACTCTCTGTGGTCATTAGAAATCCCAGGGCGTTTCTCGAAAAGAGTAGGGGTGTGATGTGTCATGATGTGTGGGTTGACTCACACCCGCGGGCAGGTTCAGGTTGACCCGCGGGTCGGGCAGACTCACATAAAAAAAAGATTTTAGATCGGTTCGGGAGGGTGTGGGTCAAAAACAAAAACGACCTGCGGATCCTTACTAGTCATTAATCCCCATCTATAAATTGGCTTCATCACTCTGTTCTCCTCCCCACCAATAGCTGGTGTGTGGTGAGCGTTCTGGCGCACTATGGCTGCCGTTGCATCATCCAGGTGGGGCTGCACACTGGTGTAGGAGGGGATCCCCATTACCTGTAAAACACTTTGAGTGGAGTGTCCAGAAAAGCGCTATATAAGTATAAAGAATTAATTAACTTATGTCTAATGTTGTTCTGCATTTAATTGCATATATACTTTGTACAAACAAGACTATAACATCTTAACTGCTACACTATGCTTCTTGAATACTGAATGGATTTTAGTTCCATAAATATAATGAAATGATTTTTCCCTCAAACAGAGTCATTAGATAAAGAAAATGTATACAGCTAAAGTCAGTTTCTCTCACATGCTGTTCCCCAGCCATAGCTTTGAGGCCCCAATAGGAACAGAGTTTGGATGACGGGGTGGCAAGACAGATATTCCTGCTTCCTCACAGCTCCATGGTACTGGGTTTGACTCTGGTCTTGGACATTTGTGTGTGTGGGGGGGTTTTCACATTCTTCCCTTGTTCAAGTGGATTTTCTACAGGTGCTGAGTCCCTTGCCTTAGGCATCCTAATAAAGGGTGGATAGGGCAGAGATTTCGAACACAAAAGAATTGTTTAAAATAGCACTGCAAAGGGGTTTTGTATAGTTGTGTGATTTGGGCAATCTTTCCAGTCGTTTGTTTTGTGCCTGCAGGTGTATTTTGATTGTGGAGCTGTAGTGGATGTTGTTGACGAGCAAGGCCTAGTCCTGTCTCCGGGGTTTCCTTACAACTACTCCTCAGGGACACACTGCGTGTGGCAGTTCTTTGTGCCTGTCGGTTACAGACTGACAATGGAGGTGTTTGACTTTGATGTGTTTGAGAGCCCTGGAAGTACAGGTGAATTTCGGCCAACTTCTGAAGCGATAGAGGAGGAGAACGCCAATGACGAGACTACACCATCCCTCAGAGGAATGGTGGTGACCCCGAACGGACTGCCCAGACAGACACAGGTGTCTGCCACGAAGACCTCCTGGGGTTCCTCCGAACGACTTCCCCCGCTGCCCTCCAAAACCGAAGAAGTCAGACAGGTTGTCGTGCAAGAGGAGTCCACCAAAATGGAGATGGCCAAAGTTTCCAACTCGGCCAAACGGTCGACAGACTTGCATCCGGGGGTGAAACCGCAGTCGCGGCAGGCTGGAACTCGAGCGGAAAACTCTGTATCTCCGGACACCTACAGGGGCGATGCCAACCCTGACGAAAGCCTCTTCCCAAGGCGGCCAGCCTATGAGGAGAATGCCACATCTGTGCCTGAGACGAGCACGGGTGCCGCTGAAACCGGCGCGGAGACCCGCCCCTCCTCAGCAGAAGCCTGCCCCCACGACGTGCTCTACATCTCTGACCTCACCACCTTTTCCTCCCGCTTCTGTGGCTCCAACAAGCCCACCGGCCGCAGGCTGGCTTTCGGGTCCTCGCGGGAGATGGTGGAGGTGATCATGGAGCTGATCACCACGACGCACTGGGGCCGCGGCTTCGTCCTGCTGTTCCAGTACCGCAACGAGACGGACGAAGCCGACGGCCACTTCCGGAAGCCGACGGCCAGCAGGACGGACGCGCTTCTCGCTGCCACGAGTGGGGCCGCCTTCTTCCTTGTCATCCTCACTGGCGCGCTATGCATCATCTTCAGGTAAGTCCAGTGTCTCCCTTACAGCAGCATTCGCCGATGTGATCCAGTCTTAACTCAGATCCTCCGAGCCACAGTCTTACAATCAGACAGTATTACTACAGTTCAGGTGGGGAGCTGCGTCAGCATGCGTAGGCTGCAAAGGAACAAGTAATAGGTTTATTCCATGCTGAGAAAAAGTTTTGGCCGTGCGGCCTTCTTCAGGTGTGTGTTATTACTACAGTTATTTTATCATTTTTTTTCCATTTTTGTGAACAGAACTTTTCTTTCATTTTTGCAGTTCTTTCTAAGCAATGCTATTGAAGATTCGGTACATCCCAGACTATCATGGATGTTGCAACCATTAAACGAAAGAATGGGGATTTGTTTTTGCATTTTTACCCCTTAATAAAACAAACTGGCACGCATGTGCTTGGGTTTTGATTTCTAATGAACAAAGGACTTGTAAATGAATGAGTGATGCTGATCACTCCTCCAGTCTTCCTTTGCCCACTGTAAAGTTCCTATTGACTCAGCTGGAGCTCCTGCCCTGTACAGTGTCAAACAGGGTATCAAATCACCCACCTTAACAGACCTCCCATTTCCAAATGATAGCAGGCATGACTGAGGCACAGGCAACACCTGGTATCGATTCTATTTAAAAAAAAATGAAAAGGATATTTTTCTCTTCTGTGCAGACCACAAGAAAATGGAAAGGAAACAAAAAAAGGGATTCCCAATTTTAATCCACTCTCCTGAGACAGGGATGGGGTTGTAATTGTTTAATAGAAACAAGAATAATATTTCAAAGGAAGACATCATTTCTTTTCTGTTCCCTTCCTGCTCTTTGTTTGTGAGAACCATGCACACGGCAGGTGAGCTGATGATGTCAGGTTCCCTACAAGAGCGAGCCTGTGAACCACAGGCTGGGATTCTCTGCTTGGTTCCTGTTCCGGTTCTTTCATATGAACATAAGAAAGGAAATGAAAGGAGGTCATTCACCCCACCTGACCTTTTTGGTTATTAGAAAGTAATGAAACACAGGTTCTCATCCAGCTGCTTCTTGGAAGTAGTGTGGGCACCAGCTTTGACAGTGTGACTGGGTAGCTTGGTCTATATTCCCACAACTCTTTGGAAGGAGTGCTTCCTGTTGTCGGTTTTCAACTTGCAAAGTACTACTGTAGTTCTGCCAGAAACGTCTCTGTCTGAAGATAGTTATTCCATCATATGAGCCTCCTGCGGAAATTAGGTTAAAATTAACCCAGAAACGGGATTATTTGAACACTCGTGCTATTTGTATTGAACAATAAAATGACTTGCTTTAGCTTTCCAGCATAGGACAGACAAGACCACACACTACCTCTTAGTGGGTTTGTCTCGTTGGTATCAAGTTTAAGAATGAAAGCCTTACATTTTTCTTAATTAAAGATTGACAAAGAAACAGTAGTGCTGTTTCTAGAATCAAGAGGATTAAATTAAATCCAGTGAAGTTATGTTCAGGCTTTACAGTGTATAAATAAGAACCTCATTTAGAATATTGTGCTCAGTTTCAGTTACCATACCACCAAAAGGATACCATAACAGCCTTAGAAACGGTTCAAAGAAAAGCAACTAGAACAATTCCTGATCTCAGGATTATATACAAACAGGTTAAAGAAACAAAATCCCTTCAGAGATTTGATCTAATTATTCTAAATTCTATGGGGTGTAGCCAGGATAGGCGCAGGGGACTAGTTCAGACTCGGCAGCGAAACAAGGACATGGGGTCACTACTGCAAACGAAAAAGGGAATTCATGATGGTGGGAAAATAGGAAACGCATCTCTACGCAACCTGTCGTGGGTACCTGAAAACAGACTTCCAAGCCAAGCAGTTGAACCGAAATCTGGGTGGACATTTTAGATTCTGCAACTGAACTACTAAACAATCAGGAGGGGCCAAATGCCCCCCCTCTTCATTTGCAGCCATTCTTGAGTTCTTCTGAGGGGTGCAGTATTGGGAAATGGCCTGGGTTTCGATGGAAGGGGATTTTTGTGCTCTTCCGAGGGGGTACTGGTCTAGTTCCCAGTGTGAGTCCTGCCCCTGGTCTGAACCCTGCCGACATAAAAATGAACCGAATCAACAAACAAAGGAAGAGCCCACGGCCTGAAAGAACATTTTATGAATTGATCTCATTAGGAATAAAATGTATCGCATGCAGTCGCACAAAATGTAGAAAGCACACCACGCTTAAAAAAAAACCAGCATGAAAAAAGCTGCAGGTTGCAAGAGCACCTCTTTGTCGCAGAAGGCCTCGTCGTGTTTGGCAGCAGTGAGGCCGCCTGGGCTCTGTCCATGTCCTTTGTTTTTCCACAGTCAAGCTTTGTGTGCCCTTTGCAGAAAGAAAGCAAAAAGATTTTTCTTAGTGTGAAAGGAAAGAATAATTCTAATTAGTTTTGGCGGTGACTTTAGAGCACGGATACTACTGGGAAGGGTTCTCGCCTTTTTTGAAAAAAAAAAAACATTCCTGGGACTCATTTAAAAAAGGAAGACAAACTGGGTATGTGTGGCCTTGTTTCTTATTCATAAAACAACCACATCAAGGCAAAATGGGAACGAAGAGGTGTGCTGGGATACACAACTAAAAAATGCAAAACAAAGCCCTGTCATTTAACGAGGCTTAGCGCTGCTTTCTGTAGCGATTTCCTTAGGAAATTCAAGGATTTTTTATTTGGATAAAAGATGAAAGCATCCAGCTATGTTTTATGTTCCACTCGGTAGACATGCCTAGTGAAAGTAGTTTGCAATTAGGGTAGGATGACAGGTTACCAGAGGGAGAATCAATCTTGAATTTCTGTGGTCTGCCACAGCAGGGCGAAAAGTGTCATTTAAAAATAAAATGTGTGTAACCTCAGGTCAGCATGCCCGGTTTAACATACTTCAGTGCAAGTAGTTTGTCACAGGAGTATGATGGTTAAATCTTCCTAAACGTCAGAGATAACTGACATATTAAAAAATCGTCATGTGAAAAAGGTTTCCGAAACAGTTTTAAGACACCGCATGATGAGTTATATTTGGGTAAAAGTATAGTCTTTTTTCCTCCTTTATTTCATTACAGTTAGCCTATGGCAGTGAATTGGACCATTGACAACAACAATACTCTTGTCGTGAAACCATTTACTTTGCTAGAATCTAGTATTGAAAACAAATTCTAGTATTGAAAACAAATTCTACTCCTCCTTGTGCAGTAATGAGTAGTATTCCATGGTAAATACCGTTTCCAAATAAATAATTCTCTATCCTGTTTTCACACTAACCATGCCTGAATCTCCTGATACCATAGAAAATGGGTGTTAACCCTACAGAGGTGAATTTCATTATCAAATGCTGTTTCACAAAACACCTTTTTTAGACCCAAAGAACAGCTTGCACAAACTGCGGAGTTTGGATTATCTCAGCATGTTGAATGCTTAAGGAAAAGGCCTACAAATCAAAAACATATTATCAAGCTGCCTCGGCCTTTTGTTTTGCAGACCAAAAATATGTCTGAAAGGAGCCAACGCCTGTTCATCCAACAGCCCAGAGGTAAAGAAAATATTCAGTCTAAATAACAACTTTTTTACATTCCTCTGTAGATTTTGCAATTCCAGGGATCAAGTAACATACCCCAATGTCTCCAGCCCTTGTAAAATAAAATACCCTGGAATCTGCTTGACTGATTAATCTCACAGATTTGCAACTTGAAACACTCCGTCAAACGTATTTTGTAGAACACCCACAAAAAAAGGGAAAAAGGTCTGACTGCTTCAGCTAAAACATCTGTTTTCTGCTAATCGGCATGAACCACATGTGGAGACATTCGTTAGCAATTTCTGCATTGCATAAATTGTATGATAATATTGGAAGAAATGGAGTGCTAGGACATATTTCTGCTGTTACAGATGTGTCGCACACCAGTGTCTCCTCAACTGCTCCTCTGCTGCTTTATTTACAAACATTTTGGTCACAAATTACGTTACACTTTAGGAGATAAAGCCCATTGAGCAGTTCTGTAGTGTACACCAGTGGGTTCCCAATCCTGGTTCAAAAACATCTGGGTTTGTGTCCCATCTGTGCACTCAGTTTAATAACTGAACCCTTAATAGACCTGATAAAAGTTTAATTTGAACTCTTTGATTGTTTACAGTTCCGAAGCATGTAGGAAGCTGCCTTTTTACTAATTCTGTTTTTAAGTAACTTTTAATCTCCAACCCCTGAAAAGAAAAAAAAAACTTGAAAAGGTTCTTACCAAGCCAAGTTGGTTCAGTTAAAAAGTAAAACCAGCAGGAGGGTGAGTGAACCCCAGACACAGAGTACAGACTGAAAACCCCTGGTGTATACAGTCCTGCATTGACATTTAACATGTATTAACATCAAGTACTTGTGACAGATTTCATTTTTCGATTTATGATTTCCATAGGCATTGCTATACAGCTACCACATGCAGTATGGAATAAAGAAAGAATGGGAGAAAGAGCAATATCAAGAAAAAACATCAATCATCAGGAGTCTTCTAAAATGCGATTATAAGGTTATAAAATGAACCTGTGTTTGTAGTTGCAGGTGGGGGTTCAGCACTCCGGTGGGGATCTGAGTGAGCTCCAGTTAGTCAGTCAGCCCTGTATGGATGTCATCGCTGATGGAGACAACAGCAACCAGTCTCCCAGTCCCACACACACAGGTCAGCCCCCCGGCCCCAGTCCTACACCTTTGCAAAGGTGACATCGCAACATGTAAAATGTAACACCAACTTACACTGACAGTGGACCACTTCCTGTTCGTTAAACATACAGAGTAGATGGAAAAAGAAGGTTAAGGCCAGCACATGTATTCAACAATTTCTCCTGGGGGAGGAGGGGGTAATTCCACTGTGTATGTTGATTAAGAGAAATGGACAGAAAGTTGATTATGCATGTCAGTGTTGGCCTTTTCCTGTGCTTGTGGTGCTGTTGTTGGCAGTGGGTCTTCTCTTTTTAAGAATGGATGAGAGTGTTATTTGTGTGCATGAAAAAATGTGTGTGCAGGACAGGGGTGTTAGAAGGTGGGGTGGTCAATGGAAAAATGGGTTTGCTTTTGAACAATTTCAGAGGAGTCCAAAGTCTCTCTTGTGCGAGCTGTTACAGGTGCCAGGAACAGCTTTGTACAAGTGGATAAATTTAAAGATCAAGGCATCTGGCCCAGTTACAATAACATGCTGACAGGGAATTTAATACTTTTTTTAGACTTGTTTGGGTTATGAACAATTAACTGTTTTATTGCAGTTCATACTCTAAGGAGATTCTATGCTACTGTAAAAATGAGTGGTGGTGATCTCATTTGCAGTTGTAGCCCTTTTCTGTCTCAGATGTGTCAAAATAGGAGTCACATGCTCAAGTGAGGTCAGCAAGTGTATCACCCTGCAACTCACCACTGGCAGCCCACTGACACTAAGCAGGTCTGAGGCTGGTCAGTACCTGGATAGGAGACCCCCTGGGAAAAAATAAGTTTGGTGCTGGAAGAGGTGTTAGTGGGGCCAGCAGGGGGCGCTCACCCTGCGATCCATGTGGGTCCTAATGCCTCAGCATAGTGACGGGGACACTATACTGTAAAAGAAGGCACCATCGTAAGATGAGATATTCAGGTCCTGAATCTCCGAGGTCATTAAAACTCCCAGAGCATTTTTCAAAAAGAGGAGTGTTACCTAAATTTCCCCCTGGCCGTTACCAATCAAGCCTCCTAATAACCCCCATTGTGAACTGGCTCCATCACTCTGCTCTCCTCCCCACTGAGAGCTGGTGTGTGGGGAGTGCACTGGTGCACTTGGGGTGCTGTTACATCATGCAGGTGGGGCTGCACACTGGTGGTGGTGGAGGGGATCCCCATTACCTGTAAAGTGCTTTGAGTGCAGAAAGCACTATATAAGTATAAGCGATTATTGTTACTACCACATTAAGGACCAGGATTTTATATCTATAGGAATGTGTAAGTATTGTGATTTTTTATATAATGAAGGTACTTAAGAAATTTATTTGTGAAGAACTTGTGTTTAAGGTTTGTCAAGCAGTGGTGGGGCAGATACTTCCCACAATGCCGAGCTGGAGCTATCCTCGAATGGACTTATTGAACTGGAACTGGGGGCCGACGAAGTGTTTGTCATAGCGTCTGGACCTGCTCCGACTGCTCTTCATTTCTCTCCTGTCATGGTGAGGATTACCACCGAAACTCACTGTGCGGGCCTTGGGTTTAATGAAGGCATGTCCCACCTTCTTCCCAGCTCTCTTGTCTTTCGTTTTGGCCGGGGTGTTACATCAGACACCCTTAATACGAACTTTCTAACTTGAAATGCGTGGTTTTTAACGGCATGCAGTCTGTGTCTACCCTGTGCTTGTACAGTCACAGGAGAAAGTCAGTCTGGGTAATGAATGCATTATTTCCACATCAGCCTCTGTGCACCTGAGCCTCTCCTGTTAAGTGCTATTCAAATTGGACCAAGCCTGAACTCTCAGGTGGTCGATTATTTCAAGGTCTCTCAACTTCTTTACAAAGAGGAACTAATTATTTATAAGTCTTTTTTTTTTTTTGCTGTGGGAATAGAAGGACTTTTTTACATCTCTGAGTTTTTACCAGCAGAGGGGTTGCCATTGTGCATGAGCCTTTGTGGTGGGGAAAAACGTCTCTACAACCCCTTCCTAATGCTTGTCTAGACAAAGTGAACTGTAAGCGATTCTTTGTAAGGATTATCTGGCTCTTTCTGATGAGAATCCCTCCGAGTAACAGCTGACTAATGAGCTGGGATACATGCCTGAACTCTACAGCTGACGTACTTCACATCTGACTAGTAATTAAAATCAATGGGCCATTTCAATGAGTGCCAGTGTGTTACTGGGATGATTTGACAGCTATGGGTTTGTCGCAGTTTTTGCCAACAAGTGAATAAAAGCCAGTCCAAAAGACTCTCCCAAGAGCACGATCTGGCATACCTGAGCCAGTTTAATTATAGCCCAGTAAGTGTGGTACATTCTGAGTGCTTCCCTTCAATAAAATCAGACCACCTTGTTATATTGGTGCATGTACTTATATTGGTAGTCAACAGTACCCCTAACTATAATAGTAACTATACCTGAATGCATCAGAAGTTAGTTTCATGTTTTATTCCTGAGACCAAAATAATGTTTGATTTGATAAACCAATAACTGTGAAGTTATTTGTTTATCAAATGCTCATTGCTTATTTTTTCAATTACAAATTAGCTCTGATTGTGGTAGATGTCACAATGTGCTTTATCAATAAGGGCTGAGGAACTCTTAACTGGTCTATGGCAGCTGAAAAAATAACCCCAAGATATGCTAAATAATAATCTGTTGTGAGAGCCTGGCTCAGAGGAGAAACTTAAAAACAGATTTTCTGAAACTGAAAGAAACAAACACAGGGACCATCTGACTTTCCCATGGAAAGAATTTCTTACTTATGTTTGCTGCTGGTTGCAAGTGATGGATCTCAGAGGCTCAAATGATTTATTAAAAAAGCAAACGGTTGCAATAAACTATTTATTGTGATCTTCAAAGCAAACAAAAGCATATGTACCCTTTACTGCCTCTGAATTTTCTGCTTTTAAAAGCCTTTCAATTTGATTATTTCTTGTAATCTCTTTATGCACAAATTAAGGATGTGACTTTTTCTTTATCATTCCATCATCCTTGCTGATTAACCAAGCTGGATCAAAAGAGACATAATTTTACAAATAGGCCCCTGTATTCTCAATGGTTTGATCACACAGTATCCCAGTCAAAGACAGCACAAGGGCCCATGCACGGAAACGACAGTGAAGTAAGGCTTTTATTGTTTCAGAATTTCAGATTTTTTAATATTCCTTGAAAAAGAAACCATGGTTCACAGCTCACAATAATCTTCCCTTGATGTTTCCTTTTTAAAATGAAAGACTACATTCAGAGAAACAATGTGTCAATGACTGCACTGTCTTAATGATTAAAAATGGAGATTTGTTACCGTAGCCTTGTGATCGGAGGTGGGTCTGGTAAAAAAAAAAGAGGAGGGGGGCTCAGATCCCCATTAAAAAAAAAAAACTTCCATATATATATATGAATACACAAAAGATTGCATTAGCTTGCAAAACCCCTTACAAACTCGACACCCACCAGAAAGCCAGAATTAATTCCAGAAAGCAAAAATATTTCCTTCCTCCTGACAAAGGAAAAGTACCACAGGGGGTCCCCCACTAAATGTGAACAATTAGAAGGGGCACCCCCTGTCCTAGAGATGGATCCTATATTTCTTTCAAGTAGGGGTGTAACCCCGGTGTCCTGGCCAAATTTCCAATTGACCCTTACCAGTCACCTCCTAATAATCCCCATCTATGAACTGGCTCCATCACTCTGCTCTCCTCCCCTCTGAGAGCTGGTGTGTGTTGAGCGTTCTGGCGCACTATGGCTGCCGTCGCATCATCCAGGTGGGGCTGCACACTGGTGGTGGTGGAGGGGATCCCCATGACCTGTAAAGCGCTTTGAGTGGGGTGTCCAGAAAAGCGCTATATAAGTGTAAGCAATTATTATTATTATTAAGTCTCATCTCAACCTCCGCCAGTCTGCTCAGAGGAGAGCACCTCCTGCCCTGGCGACGAAGCTGGTCTGAACCCCTCCCGCGTTAACGCCCTGTCCTCCTCTCCCGCCGGGGCAGCAGCAGGAGAAGGCCCTGCGCAGAAGCGAGACCAGCCCGGGGCCGGTGTGCGCGGCCCAGCCCGCGGAGGCGGCCAGCTCGCCGGGGAAGGAGAGCAGCTCCGCCGCCGCCGCCGCCGCCAGGCCTCGCGCCTGGAGTGTCCGCGCCTTCCACGACCTCCTGCCCCCCCTGCCCCAGCTGCACAGGAAGTGGTGCAGCTGGAACTCGACCAGCCCCTTCACCAAGCTGCTGGACGGCGGGAGTGCGGGCCGGGCTCCGGTAAGCAGTCTTGCAAAGAACCCCCGTTCGCCCCAGTCTTCTAAACCTGATCACAAACCGATCTGTTGGTCTGCTGAGAAAGTTCTCTTCAGATGCTGAAAATGAGCCCTGGATGATCCAGCCCTGCTCTTGGAGAGCCCTGATTGCGCAGGATCTAAAGGATAGTGATCACTCTCGGTATCCTTCAGCTCTCAAGCAACAGTGTGTGAATTGAAAGATTCCTTGCCTAATTCATCAATAATGCAGATGCAGATGTGACCTACAAGACTGACTGGATTGGTGTTCTCCAAGACCAGGGTTGTAGATTCTCCTTTGCAGCCTCACATTCTACCCCCCATTTTAAACATTTTAAGATCTTCCCCACCCTTTGTGTTGTTTTGGTAAAAATGAATTTTGTTGAGAACATAACAGTTACAAATTAGAGGAAGTTATTTGGCCCATCTAGCCTGTGTGGTAGTTAGTAGCTAATTGATGCAAGGATCTCAGCCAGCTGTTTCTTGATTTAAGACAGGGTATCGGCTTCAACACGGCTGGATAGCTTAGTCTCAATCCAACAACCCTGGGGTAAAGAAATACCTCCTGTTCAAATTTTGTTTACTAGTCCCAGTCATATTCTTTTTTTAAAGCTATTAAAATTATTTCTTGGAAGCAGAAGCCCAGTGATGCTTTAATGTGAAGTGATTTCGTTCCACACTGTTTTTCCTGCACTCTTGTTCTTCCCCCGGCAGTAAGGAGTCTCGAACGTACCACAAGTGATGTAGGATATGAAACCCAATCTAATCTAGCAAGCATGGAGCAAAGACACCAACAACGGGAACTTCACAATTGGCTGAATTCCTAAATCAAAAGAGCTGATGCAAAAAAACCCCCACAAACTTAGCTGTGAAAGGAATAGGTTTGTATGCGTTTCTTCCAGGCGGCTGCCACCTCAGAGACGGAGTGCCACAGGGGGAGAGAAGGGAAGGTGCTGTCCGAAGCCCATCTGGAGAACAGGGCGGGGAGGAACCTCTCAGACTCGTCGGTAAGCAGCGCCTCCTGCCCCCTGAGCCAGCCCCTGCAGAAGCAGCGCCGTCTCAGCTCCACCAGCACCCTCCGCAGGGCTCGATTTGCGTCCCCGTGCTTCGGGCTCCTCGCCGGCCCCTCGGAGAGCTCCAGGGGCCCTGCTGGCCCCTTGATCCCCTACGCGCAACCCCAGAATTCCCTCACAGAGATGGCCAGTGGCTCCTCGGGGCCTCCACTTCAAGCAGACGCCCAGGCTAAGCTCAGGGATTTCCCTAGCGAAGAGGACCACACCAGCGTGCCCGTGTTCGCCATCTCTGAAGAGGAAGACCGCCAGCCCCTTGTCCTTACTGAGTCTTCCCCTCTGAATGAGGAAGACCAGGATCCTTACAGTAACACGGCACGGGACCACAGGAGCCCCCCCACACCGTGCAATCAGGATCCAGTCAGTGGTTCTTCTTGCCAGAGAAAGGTGCCCGACTGGTACCCCTGGGGGAACCACTCGCCTGTGGCCAGCTGTGGGTCTCTCACTCCCTCCGAGATGCAGGCAATGGAAGCAGGTGAAGCAGACGTGCACTGTACATTCAGTACAGCCATTCAAATGCCACCCTGTTCCTTCAGCCAGCCAGCCAGCGCCACCCTAAGAGGGATGCCAAGTGAGCAGATATGACAGTCGGAGGGTTCCGCTTTTGAGGATGGGAGTTAAAACAGGGAGCGGACTATTGGACTTGATCTCCTCTTAACTCAAGGATCGTGCCTTTTTTTAACCTCAAGGATGGGCCATGCAACCAGATCTGAAATGATTCCACTCAACAGTGTCTTACTGAAAGTGTGTGAGTGATTCAGGAACAATACATCCCTGTCATAGCCTTGACAAACCTGCTAGCACAAATACAATAATGACAGTTTGCCATAGAGCAGAAAGTATACTAGGATTCAAATACTAGCATTTTTTTTTTTGTTGAAATGCAACAACAATGAACTATGCTGGCATAAAACCCTGAGGTGAGTGAAAAATGTCTAGATGCAACATTTTCAGACAGCACACTTTACATAGGTGCCACATAAGGGCACATGAAGTGTCAAGCTTGACCTATTAAGTGCAGGAGTGCTTATGCAAAGGGACATGCAGCGTTTGCTCAGGGTAAGTGAGGCTGTACGGAATCAGGGCTTTGTACTCCTTGAGTTGTTGAAGTCTGTAACATTGTAAAAAGTTAAACATGACACTTTTTCAAACTTTTGTTTTATCCCAATGGTTGGGTATGATCACTAAATAACTAAAGAATAGAGGCTGGGAATCAATGATCTTGGAAAAGTAAGTTCCCAGGCATTTGTGGCTTCTTTATAGACAGCACACTGCAATGCACAAAGTGAGGAGAAAGTGAGAATTGGTTGACATTTAGCTGTAAACACCATCAAAAAGCAGTCATGCATGCATAAATGTTGATTTTATGTGGACAACTTTCTCATAAGGCTGAGTTGCATGATATGCAAGGTTTAAAAAGATTTTTTGAAAGTTCAGATTGATTTATAGAACATCAAAGATGCAGTTCTTTTATGCAGAAGAGCAACTGGATTACAAAAGGGAAAGTATTGTAAAATAATGCTTACGAAAATGTCCCGAGATACTATGCAAATAGTTAAAAGCTTTCTAGATTTATACATAAATGTACACTAGAAGAGAGCTACTACTCCAACCATGAGGACCATGTTGCAATTGCAGAAAGGATATGATTCCACCATCCATACTTGAAAATAATTGAGGAAAGAAGTTCTTTAACATGCAAAATAAATTTTGAGAAATTAACATTTTCTTGGTTGGGATTTTTCTTTGTGATAGAAATAAATTGTGTTGACATGATTGTTTCATTAGACAGCCATTAAAATAACACTTAGTGGAGATTCTAGATGAAAGGGCTTTGGGATTAGGGTTTTGCTGTAGGTTTAGAGGTTAACTTCTAATATGCAGGATTTGAACTGTTCAAAACCAGGACAAGCATTTATCAGCTGTGAATAACCAGGTGGGTATATTTTTAGAATGTTATTTAATATTCAAGAAAGGAAAACTTCAAAAGCTCTTTTGCAGTGTTTTATTAGTGCAGTTAAGTTTCCTTAATTACAAAGTCAGTCTAACAATGCATTACCTAAGCAGTGATGGTACAGGCAAGATTCTAGAAGCTCTTAAAGGCATTAAGTATTTTAGATCCTACATCAATATTCCTGCTTAATCCTTGAGTAAATCAAAATATTATGAACAAAAATGCAAAGACTTTCTACACCTGTTGTAAGCTTTGATGAGGTAGAATTGACTGGTCTTTTGTGATGCCAAGTGTAGTTTAATCCATGCTTACTCTTCCACATGAGAGAATATTTGCCTTAGAATACAATGTTTCCTTCTGAGGCAACATCAATCTGCCACAAAACCTCCTTAACTCCTGTTCCAGATCAGCAGCTCCAATGTTTCTTAGCTTAACGTACCTCACCCTTCTATTCAAGACTATGAAAATTAAGTAAGCTAAAACTGACCTGCCTGCATGAGAGGCGTGAGGGCAGGCTTGATCTGCTAAGGAATGCCACATTGTTAACCCATAGTGAGAGGCACCAGCACTGGAGAATTAAACACAAAAAACAACCTGGAGTACAGGCAGTGCTGACATCTGCTACCATGCCTATGGCACAAATACTCTTACAGCACCTTATAAGACTGAATTTTACTTATATACCACCTTTAAAAAGTTGGTGGTTGATGATTACATAAACAGCAGAGTCAGTGATGGGACAGTTCATTTACAATTTACCCGAAATCCTACAAAAAGGGGATAAGGCATGAACGCAAGCTTGTAACAATATTACAACACTATTTTTTTTGCATAATAAGAAAATGTACAGTACAGTTGTTTTTATACTTAAATTTGCCTTTTATCTCACTCATCTACTGCAATATCTGTACATCTATTGCCAGGCTAGATAAAGTTTGGCGATTTAAACTTTGGACAAATGACCTGTCCAACCACATTATTCACAACATGTCCCGGTTGGAATAAACTGGACATTCTAAAATGGCAATTACTTGTTCTCTAATCCATTGTACTGGAGCCCCAGGTAGACATATGGGAGAAAGAACAGTGCTTTGGAATACTAGATTGTGAACAGACTTTGAAGAATGTTGCTTGTAAAAGAAAAAAAAAAGGCCAATTTGAAAGACTGGAATTATTCACGTGCCGATTTTTTAACACTGCTTCAAAAAATTTAACATCACTAAAAAGGTCCCTACATGAAATTAATCCTAATGAAGTCTCTATTACTACAATATAAAAAACTGTACAATGCAACACCAGCATAACAGAATGTTATAAGGCCATCTTTTTAAAGTGATTCGTTCCCCATTTTTTCAGCCATTACCACGATGGTGTTTAATCTTCATTTTTTTTCTTCCTCAGTGGACAGTTTTAAACTGTACAACTCTGTAACCCATGTGTGGTGGGGCAGTGTCCAGGTAAGGAATTGATATGTTACCGTTCACATTTTCAGCAATTCTGCCCTTTTCCATAGATGCATTTACCATTTCAAGTCCTGATGTCAGTCTCGGCCATGACAGTTACAAATCTCATCCGGGTGTTTCAGGCCTCCAGAACTTCAGCGGATCTGGCAATTACAGATTTCTTTCCCCCCCAAGTGAAAAACGTAGGTATACAGTTCTATGGTAACTGAACCCTTCCAACTGAACAATGTGTGAATTTTGAGATTTTATTGCCATCAGACAATGTTTCAGGTTCTGTTATTCGAATAACTTCAAACGTCACTGAATCCGACATACGCCGAGTGTGAAGAAACAAGCAAAGCAACTTAACGCCTAAAAAGACTGAAAATCTTGCAGCTACATAGAAAAAGGTTTGTCTGAAGGCTACACATGGTTTCAAAAAGGATTGCAGTGACTTCAAAATATTGTGCATAACCTTTCATTGCTTACCAACTTTAGCAGCACAACACAGTATTCACCAATCTGCAGCCTTCATTTATCTCCCTTGTTTTCCTGTCTTGCAATCACCAACCATGAGACTGTCAGCCCGAGAGCACCAAGATACCATCACCACCACGGCTTCCATGATTTTGAAACCGCACCCAATAAAGTAACAATTACTAGACAGTAGGCCATTCCACCCACCTTTACCATTTTTCCGACGCAGCTGAGTTTACAAACGCCGAGCTCTGCTTGAATAATCCCTATTAAGCAAAAAGTGCTAAAAAAGTGCCATAGAATACTGAGGGGAGAAAAACTTTTCAAAATCTTTCCAAAAATTATGAGAAGTTACATAAATAAGCATTGCTCTGAAAGTCTCTCAAATGTATGAATTAAGAGAGAAATTAAAACACATTGTATCACCTGACGCTTAAGTGCGAAAAACGAAAAAACAGTAATAATGCATGTCATGAAGATTAAAGAATGAATTATGAGGCAGTTGATGCGCAAATAGAAATAAGTGAGTTCTAAATAAAGGGCATAAGAAGAAAATACTGCTTGTATTATATAATGAGGTCATCTATAAAAATAGATAGGTAAGAGAATGGCACTCTTTTCCACTAACTGTTTCTAATTAACCTACTAATTGTGCTACTCAGGTATCACAATTTTGCTCTCTATAGATGGGAAATTGCCTTTTACCACCTGAACTAACAAATGGATCTCTTTGTACTATTTAGTCAACTCACATTTGATTATCCTAAGCAAAGCATACATTAGTCTGTGAGGCATCTGATGAACCTACAAATCTTTAGCTACCTATTCACATGCCTTACGCCGACCAGCATAAAAAACACAAAACGATCACATAACTTCTCTATATTACTTGCTAACATCATACATTGATGAAACTGCGTCCCCTTGAAACACGCAGAACACAAAGTAACTCCTTTTACAAATAAATATGGATTCCATGTCCTTTCCCACAAGCAGCAAAGCACACTGAAGCAGGCAAGCCTGAAGTAATTAATAACCTAGCACATTCAATGAAAACTTCTTGTAAATAAGGATGAATAAGAAAGCTCAGACGATAATACATGTAAGCCTTTACGTTATAGAACAAGAAGAACTTTATGCATGAAGAGAAATCCCTAAAACAAGACGAATTAAGAACTTAATGATTAATAAGGTATTGGATAAATGTGCTCTTAACGTTAAAAAAAAACAGCTATGGAGTACAAATACACAGCAATCTGTCACTACTGTATGCTAAGAAAACCTCTCAACTATAACCTCACTTGATCAAGAAAGGCTAACAAAATCTAGCATCTAACACTGGTGTACTGTATATACAAATGATTTTTTTTGTCAAGATTATAAACCCAGTGACAAGCCAGTACTTTTGCTAAGCACTGTAAAAAGGTAAATTCAAATCTGAACGGCTCTCATGTAGGGAACTTATCTGAAAGTGTTCAAATGCACTAATACTACAATGCATTGTATTAATGCCCTCTTTCCACATGTCTGACACACACTGGTGGTCAGGCTCAACATTTGTCATTAGTCTGAGAAAATGGTCTTTTTATGCCCTGCCACATGTTTTTCCTTAACACTCACTGTATGAAGACAGGTAGGTCCAGTATTAGGTCACTTGATATTGTTTGCTACACAGAACAAGTCAGAACAAGATATGGACCACTTAAAAGCAAATAAACATTAGCTGCTTTAGAACAATGCTGTGCTACACAGCAAAGTAAACTGCATGGTCGTTCACTTTAATATAAGGGTACAACTGGAAAAAATTCAGACTTGAGCATCATGAGTCAGTCCACGAAGACGATCCCATTAACATGTCAAGAGCAATGTTTTCACAGATCTTCAGTTCTTAAAACGGGTCTGCTCACAAATGTGGTTGAATTTCCTAAAAGGATAAAATGAAATTAATTATTATCATTAATTTTGGAGCCATAATGTCCTGCGAATAATCTATAAGCCATGGTAAAGCCATGAATCAGAAAATTCAATAGATTGTTACAGCACTTGTATTTTTTCCCCATAAAAAAAGGACTGGTGAAAAACCATCTTATAGTCCTCCAATCAAAATCAACCTCAGACCAAGCAGAAGCTCCCTCTGCTGTTTCACATGAATATTCCCTGATCGCATGTCAGAAACAGAGCACTGAAATCAAAAAGCTGAACCTGCCAAGTGCAATGTTAATACTTGTCTGACTGACACTGTGGTGAGTATTCAACGTCTAAGTAGATCTATGTTCACTATGTCATAGATTTTAATTTAAAAAAAATCTTTAAAGAAATTACATTGCATGGTGTGCTTTGACTTGGGTGCGACAGTTGCGTCCCCAGTAGCAGTCTGGCCGGGAAGTCACAGCAGCTGTAAAGAGAGATCACCCCAATCAGATGAACTGCATACGCTGTCTCTTCATGCACATACACAGGTCAACAATGCCCAGCTCTGGTCTAAGACTGCCTAAATCTTAGGGCGGGGCGGTGGCTCTGTGGCTAAGGATCTGTGCCTGTGGCTGGAAGGTTGCCGGTTTGTATCCCTCGGCCAGCAGAGGAATCCCACTCCATTGGGCCCCTGAGCATGGTCCTTAACCCCAACTGGGCGCTGTATAAATGGCTGACCCTGCGCTCTGACCCCCAGCTTCTCTCCCTGTCTGTGTGTCTCATGGAGAGCAAGCTGGGGTCTGCGAAAAGACAAATTCCTAATGCAAGAAATTGCATATGGCCAATAAAGTGATCTTATCTTAAATGCACAGATTTTACAGATAGGGTCTAAAAACTTGCAAGAGTTCACCACTTAGCCACGACACCTCTTAAAACAAAGCAATTAAAGAGACCCTTCGGGATTTAAAAAAAAAAAACATACAGCCTTCCACTTCTCTGCTCCTTTGTTAAATGACCACAATACTCACTGAAACAGGTTACAACATGTTACAAGTGTGACCCATAACACCTGCTGGATTGTAGCTCTCCAGGACAAGGTTTGCCCACCCCCTGATACAGAGACTGAAACCAGGTTCTTCCTAGACTGTTGATGAGTTTACATGGAAGGTCGCTAGGGGACAACTGCCAGCTTTCCAACCATTAAAAAATGCCAAGTGTTTAACAAACTTCATTTTGCCTACCTGGCAGCTCTGCAGCAGGGATGTTCTGTCGGTACTGATATGTTAGCTCTTTAAAGGCACGCAGCCCACAGCAGTAGCACAGCACAGCATTAGCTGTGATTCGGTAGTCTGCAAAAAGAAGATAATGGGAGTTCTCCATCTTCCATGTGTTCACGATCAGTAATGATTTCCGATACAAACCATTAATATGCAACGAGGCAAAAGTGGATATATACAAAAATGAGGGTCAACAAAAAAAATGGTAGCCAGTACCAAACCACAGAATTGACCCAGTAATAGAGAACAAGACATGCAACAAGTCACATGGTACAACGTTACTAAGGTTCAAACAGCATCCAAGTCCAAAAGTGTGGTCTAGAACCAACGGTCTATTGCGACATGGGATTTGCCAGGAAAAGGCAATTAACAAGGCCACCAGTGCCCTCCAGTGGAACACTGATGTATTCAATCCCACAACAATCTGCGATGTCTCGTAATAAATATGTAATAATTAGGCTACAGTACTACCATCTTGTACCTTGTTCTTGTCAGAGTTTGGAGGCTACATAAGGCTGGGCCTAGTCAGAACTGGAATGGAAGACATCCAAGGAAAAACAGCATGCCGCTGTAAGAACCATTTCATCCCTAGGATGATCGAGTACACAATGCTGCAGGAAGGACTGTCCTTTGGATGAGATATTAAATGTAACCCGTCACTACTTGGCCAAAAAAATTCTCAAGGCACAGTTGGAAAGAGTAGGAGTTTTAAACCAGAGAGCAATGGAGTTTCTGTGCAATCTGGTGTCTCTAAGTTACTTTCTAAGCAATTTCTGACTTCTCCAGCTGACCTGCTGTGTAGGTCTAGTGGAGCTATAGGTACATTTCAGAGGTGAATTAAGTGGACCCTCTTCTAGATAAAACAATCCACTACATACAAATATCAAATGTATATAACTGTATATAATTATGCCAATGTATGAATGGCTTCACAAATCCCTTTATTACAATGAAAGTAATATAGCTGTTGCATGCATAAGCATTTTCATTTGAATTGTAACAACAAAAATAATTTAAAAATTCAAATAGAAATGTAACTAATCTTATACAAAATTACCACAAACGCTTCAGAATGCAGCCACTTAATTCATACAGATTGGATACAAAACAAATTTACACCATGAGGTTTGTACAGCTAAGATAATATGACAATTCTTCTTTCCAAGCAGTTGGCATCTGACATTTTAACTCACCTGATAAATAAAACGTCCCTTGCTGCAGAGCTAGAAGACTTTCTTGGAGCATCTCTTTCCATGAGATTCCTCTGGAAGCCAGGTAATTCTACATCAAAATAAAACTGCACTTTAGATTTGTGAAGAAATGTCTTTGTCGGTTAAAGTCAAAACTGAAATCTCTCACATGCATTGTACAACAACATTTGTCACACATAAAATACAAACATTAGTCTCCTCCAGGCAACATAAAAAAAGAAAGTTGAAACAGAAGGTTACCTTGAGGATATCTGACTCATAGTTATTGCTGTTCAGAACTCCATCTAAACATTTGTCAGTTAGGTTGAGGTCTAGGAAAAGAGAAGCATAGTAAGTTAACTTCATGTTTCAATTTTATACCTAAAATCTGCAAATGACAATTACCTAAACAGCACCACAAGACAAAATGCTAGAAAGAAACACAAAAGAAGCCTGTATAATATAGGGAGCATATTTGTTCAAATGCATGTAACAAAATAAATATGAAAAAAATGAAGATCCTTGACTGAAACTGTAGAATTAGGAGAGGTGTTTACCACTAAAGCGTGCCAGGCAGCCCAGGCAGCCCACTCGACTGCACCCCCAGTACATGTGGCAGAACGGCCGCTGGCACACCGTACCTGAAGAACAGAGGGAGTGATCACCTGGACATTCGCATGAACATTATATGCATTATGGGAAAAACAGTGAGCAAATCTCTTGTTTGGGGCTGCATAAGCGCCCAGTACTCACACTGTTGCAGAGAGAGCTGCTGGTTATTGTATTCAGCTCTACGGTCTGGCATGGGCTGCAGGCAGCAGGTGCAGATCACATGGCTCCCTTGCGGGGAACAGACGTACTCTTGGATCGCTGAAATGGAGACAATATTCATATTCTTAGATATTTCTGCAAGATGCACCCAATCATATCAGAGTTCAGAGACTAAGCACTGACAATCTGGCCTATATTCATTCTGATATTCAAAAACATATGCCTATTCACCATGCATGTCAATGTCCAAATAATACATCATGGAGAATCAGATTGATTATCCACTAGGAATGGAGGTGCAGTGATGTTAAAGAGAAAATAAGGAATTTTTAGAACTGAACACAAATGTGGTCTATACCTGTAGGAATATTAGTGGATGTGGAGGGAACTTCCCCTGATGCCTTGGCACCCCCTTCTTCATGGGCCTGGCCAGAGACCACAGGGACCAGGAGTGGGTCTTTCCTGTAGCCTGGGCACTGCCTGCACACAATGAAGGGCTGACTGAAGGGAAGCATTGGAGAAATTAAATTAGGGGCTGGTACCATCAAGATGATTGCAGCATTCTCTTAAGTTGCTTTCAAGAAAAATACGGTCATCTTGGCAAAACCTGCTCAGCTGGTTAGTAACATTTAAACAGCCAAAGACTGAGATAACATATCACCATATCACTCTGCAACTCACAACTGGCAACCCACTGAAGCTAAGCAGGTGTGAGGCTGATGTGTGAACCTCCTGCTGTTGGAAGAGGTGTGAGTGGGGCCAGCAGGGGGGTCCTAATGCCCCAGTATAGTGATGGGGAAACTATACTGTAAACAGGCGCTGTCCTTTGGATGAGACGTAAAACCGAGGTCCTGACTCTCTGTGGTCATTAAAAATCCCAGGGCGTTTCTCAAAAAGAGTAGGGGTGTAATCCTGGCCGAAATTCCCAATGGGCTTTACCAATCGTGGCCTCCTAATAATCCCCGTCTATGAATTGGCTACATTACTCTGCTCTCCTCCCCACTGAGAGCTGGTGTGTGGGGAGTGTTCTGGCACACTATGGCTGCCGTCGCATCATCCAGGTGGGGCTGCACATTGGTGGTGGTGGTGGAGGGGATCCCCATTACCTGTAAAGCACTTTGAGTGGAGTGTCCAGAAAAGCGCTATAGAAGTGTAAGCAATTATTAATTATAATCCAAAAACAACACAATAGAAGAGGGAGAGGTGAAGCAAGCCCTCGTCTAAATTCCTATAATGGGCCCCAGAAAAGAAACAGAAACCTGCAGACATGCTCACCTAATATCGGAAGACTCACTGTCGACATCAGAGAGCTCAAAGAGATAATCCGAACTGCCCTCTTCATCTGAAAATGAGCGCTCGATTTTGGGCTGCAGCATATCCTGAGTGATTTTATTCCGCTTGTCCATGCTCTTCAAGTCTTCCTCACTTCGACACTTCTCTGCGAGGGAACAGAAAGGTCTGTCAACAGGGACCAGACAAGTTTCCACTATTACAGATCTCTCTAGAAAAAAAAAAAAGACCCGCTCCGACTTCAAATAAAGCAGCAAAGGACTCAGACAAGACGGATGTAGGAACTGCACTGGATTGAGCTACAAAGGGCGTTCGTGCCCTCGCTGTAACCCAACCCCAGCCCGGTGCGCAGACTGTCCTGTGGGGTGTACCTGGGTGCTGCAGCAGGTAAGCCTCCACCAGGTTGTTCAGGATGTGGTTTTTTCGGATGCGCTCCACGGGACAGCGGCAGGTTGGGCACAGAGACGAGCGCTCCATCCAGCCAGAGTAGCAGGCAGCACAGAAAGTATGCATGCATGGCTGTAGGCTGGAGAACAAAAACAAAGCTTTAGAGACTCCTGAAAGTTAGAAAGAACAGATCAACAAGACTGAGTCACACTGGCTAACGTCAGGTTTCATGTATTATCCATTATCCATACCACACTACCTCGTCTACAGAATGTTAACCACCTCCATAATAAATGAAACCTGTTCTCCGATACTTTATATGCTCCACAGACATTAAGAATCTCTGAAAAGAAAGATGAAAAGGTACTGCACTATTGTTTTAGCTTTAATACCTAGAATAACTCCCATCTATAAAAGATATGCGCTACCCTTATAAAACGCCACCGTTACATCCTTTTGAACCGTAGTATCGACAGTATTCCACTGGTGTAGTGTTTAATGCACCATGTCGTGACTCAGTGCTGTGGTCTTACCTCACGCAGTCATGCAGCAAATCCTGGCATATGATACAAGTGAGAGACTCCTCCATCTTGTCAGTTTTTGGCTCCCCGGTCTTGCCCTTCTCCATTAAAGGATTCACAGTCACCTTTGGAGAGCTTTCAGCTTTGCTGAATCCAGGACCAGGTAAGCTAAAGTGGTCATCATTGTCTATATATATATAAAAAAAAAAGATTTAGAAAGGTGATCATTCATTTTAATGCCTGAATATATTGATGAAGTAACACAGATTGGAAAGAACGTGAACCTGCCTGTTTTTCTCCTTTTTCTCTCTGGTCCAGTCTCTTCATCCTCCTTCAGATCGGAGCTGACGGCAGGCCCTGTGCTGTCTGCTTCAGTATTAGGATAAGCCTCGGACCTTAAACCCTCTGCTGCCCTGGGGTCTTCCACTGGATCGCCCTGAGGTTCTTGGGGAGAACAACACGAGTCAGCAGGAGGAACATGTCCTGAACCTAAAAAAAAGCAGTGAATCTACTGCTGGATCAGAATCTCCTTGCTGCAGTCACGGAACAAGGCATTTACAGACTTTATTTTAGAAGTCATTGTATGTACATAAGTCTATGCAAGTACAGTGCCTTTTAAGTATTTTTTTTTACATTTGAGAGAGCACAAGCTCAGTAACAATAGCTCTAGATCTTCATAGTTCATAATTACCAATGCCGTCAAAGGGTGCAGATATCAGTTTTACCTGAACATGAAGGCTGTAGGGTGGCCAAGTCTGTGGCACAAGCACCTGAGACATAGAGGTTAGATGTAGAGGTGGAAGGTTGAGGTTCGTCCTGAGGGGGATCCTGCATGACTTGAGGTGGCGTATGGGTGGGAGAGACAGACAAATCGTCTGTACTGGCACCCACACCTGAGCTTTTTAAGCTTCCGCAATACAGTACATCTGTGAGTCAAATCAAAGACATGTCATTGTACATTAAATTTTGTTCTCAACAAACAAATAAGGCAATAAGCGGCCTTCATTCCTAATTACCTTAACTTTGTTTTTGTTTTTTTTACTTCTCAGTGGCAAAGTGAAAATAATACACCATCTCTAATATTATTAGCCTGTGTAATACGCCAACCTCATGTTAGCTTCTTCGTGAACACAACACAGACAACTGCAACATCATTATGTAATAGTGAGGACAAGCAAAGGAGCAGTTTCAGAACACTGTCTTTACATCAAGTAATGTATTGTACTCACCAGTGATGTCAGCAGTGACACCTTCCAGACATGGCCGGTCAACAGGCAAAGACTGATAAACATAGGCAACGTCTGAAAAAAAGAGTTGCAAAGGCACAGTTTTATTTCTTCTGTAGTAAAATGATAAATTAATAATATTTGTGTATGTTGACCATGATGAGAGTATACCTAGTTCACACTAAGATTTTCTTTGGTAATATTTATTTCATTCGGATTAAAAAGGTTACATGGTGAATCCACTGCTTGTGGTCTTAAAATCTAAGAGGCTCCGGTACAAAAAAAAAAACTGTACAATATCCTTGATCCCAAACAAAATATGAATCACAAATGATATGAATGAACTTTCAATATATAAAAAGTCAAATTACACACAACCTTATACTGCAAAAGTGTCACTAAACATGTCAGAGTTATTTTCAAGTGAACTATCTTGTAGCAGAATTATTACTGCAGCTTTGAACGCATTTTTTTTATAAAGAGTGTACAGTCAAGTTCTGAAATATAAGGACAAATAAATAAATCTCATTTGAATGGAACCGCAGATAATGTACTTACTATGCTCTGGCTCAGTTTTCCTGTACACAAAATAGATCACATCTCCATTCTGTAGAGGGCACATCTGTCTTTTCACCACTTTGGACATATTTATCACCGTTCCATTGGTGCTGTTGGAAATTAAACAAACCAAGACATCACAACCTAAATAAACTTCCAGCTGACACTCTCGGCTTACAACAAACGAAGGGTACTAAAAAGAAAAACCTTTGCTTGCCAGACCGTTTAATTCAATTGTGTCATTTGAATTTCTTCCCATTTTTTAGTCTAGGAAATCTGAAAACAGAGTAATAAACCCTACGCATTGGTATTCCTAATTTAGCGTGTACTTCCCCACTGACTCAATTCATTGTAATTTGCTACTCTATGCTCCATCAAAACGAAACCCCATGCAGGGTGTAAATCAAAACTGAAGCAAATATTTGGACACTTTTTAATTTTAAAAAAAGAGATCATGTGATTTATTTTAAAAAGTAAATTACAATTGTCTGGATAACAAATGTTATGCATAATGGAGTGAAATATGGAAGAAATCTAGCCCAAAAACTACCTTCGAGGCTCACTGCTTCGCATTCCCAAAGGAGCTACAAAGAAGGCTTTAAAAATACAGGAAAACAGCATTATACTGCATTAGACTTTTTTTTGCTGTTATTCCTGATTACTGTGTCATTAAAACAATATCTGCAGTTTACCTAGGGACTATTAAGCAGGGCCTACACTTCTCCAGATGTGTTAAATTAGTGCGAGTTCACAATAATCCACTAGCATTAACTAGTGCTTAAGTGTCATGTTTTTGCACAGATGTTGAAAATGCAATGTGAATTGTATTCCTTGAGGTTAATTAGCTATGAATATTAAATTATACACATTGCACAAAGGAAATATCACCTGCGTTGTGCAGATTTCCCCTTTGTCTCTATTTAGAAGCAGTTAATGCAAGAGCAGACAATGAATTATCATCATGTTCTCTTTGAGGCATTTTTAGGAAGAGAACAGACAGCCTAAAGGCCTGTATCTTGACTATTCAGCAGTTTGTAGAACACTGGCCTCTTTGATTACCCGGTGGTGCCAGCAGCTTTATTATCCAAAAGCTAGTTAGTTGACGATTACAATTAAATTTGTTGGCATGGCTCCACGATATCCGCCATCATTTTTTACTGCTGGCAAAAACAATTAATGAGCACAATCAAAACCTTATTTTTAAGGTGTTTACCTGAACTAAAGAAACAGGATGCTAGAAAGAAATTCACTTCTAACTGGTTTTCTTGGTACAGGGGCATATATCCATGGTGCCAAAGCAATTGAAAATGTCTAAGACAAAATCAAAAGCACAGGATCTGGTCTCTTAGCAGGAATTATTAAATCTGAAAAGCTTCAACCGGACTTGAAGCAGGACATCTCTGTCAGGACAGCAGATGAAGTACGAGAGCAACTTCAGAATCAGTGTCGGTGCAGACAGGGTTTTCACCAAAGTAGTCTGCAGTGTGGGAGTGTACAGGCTGTTTGCATGCTCTGTTAAAGTCACCCAGAGTTAATTGGTTCTCTTGAGCTTTCAGGGGACGCTTATCACAATGGGAGAGAATAATCACCTCACTTTAATTTTCTCTCAGAGACACTTGATAAGACCCCTCTCTGAAAACACAGATCTCCAAAAGGCGCAACACAGCGTCGGCTTAAGTGGATAACATCTTCGCTCAAGACAACTTGTTTGTAAACAAGGTTTACTAATTTTCTTTTCGAGAACCATTTGTATTGATCGCCTATCTGAAAACATGCCCTTTTAAATCTTTTGCTTTTCACCTACTGTACATTTATCAGTAACTCCGAAAGTAACAGACCCTGTGGTGAAAAGATCAGAACCCTGAAGATTAATAAAAAGGATAACATTTTCTGGCATGTCCTTAGAAGATGAGCCCTGCTTCTCTGCTGTATGGAGCATCGCAATGCAGTTCGACTAAAGGGCAGGAGGACATGGAAAATAAGATTTTTCCAAGGTGTGCTTTGGATAAACAAAGGAAACAATCTAACATACCTCATGTCCTCCAGCCACACCTCCCCTGAGCTTTCATCCTGAACAATTTTGCAGTGTTCACCTGAGACCAGTTTGTTTGCAGGAAAAGAGAGATCGCAGCCTGTAAAACAAAGAGAACTGCTGATGAATTACCACTGTGGAAAAAAGAATTAAGGCAATTCATTAAAACCTCTACAGGGACAGACTGATTTATTCATACTCCAGCTGGGGACAAAGATGAAGTTGTTTTCTGTTCACCTGCTTAAGAATCTTAAAATCAATTTATTCCTAGGCTGTAAAAAAATAAAGCAGAAGAACTCCCAAGCCTCATGAGTCCAGCAACACATTCCCCAAATCAATACACTTCGTGAGACAAAACTACAAAAAGGCACTGATAAACACCAGACATTAAACAGCTGCATCTAAATTAACACACTGTTCAATTAAAATTAGATTAGCGGGTATTAGCTGTAATTTAAAATAACTATGTTAGACATGCAGTGCTGCCTCATTTCATTTTAAATACTAAATTATCCTTCAGCAAGGGCAACCACTACACAACCTTTAGATATTTTTTTTATTTTATAGCACTTTATTAAGCAGTGTGCTATTTTTTGTACATCTAAAGCATGCACCATGTATCATTAGGAAATATGAAGAATAAAATATTTAATTGGATTTATTTCTTCATAAACACATCTACATTGAACAAGGAGAAGTCGAACAAAAAGAAAAAAACAGTTAAGTGCAATTAAAATAATAAAAAGTAACATCACAGATACACATTAGGATAAATGAAAGAGTAAGAACTAGCTAGAGTAACTGCAGCATAAAGTTCTAAATCTTTATACTTAGTTAAAATGTGCACTTGTCTGTTTGATGCAAACAGATTTTCTTTCCCCCAAAACTCATGAGCAACATGGCCTTAAGAAAACAGCACAAACCTCACGTTTTCCAAGTTTGGACAGAGCTCATAATTACAAATTCACAGGACTACATAATGACGTGCAGACTAACAGGAAACGGGGATAGCGACCGCCACAGTGTCACTACTGTTTAATTTCACAATTAGACCTTGTCTCTTCGGGTTAATAGGAGAAACTATAAAATCTGTACCAATTTTCCTTTTACGATTCAGGGAGTACTGCATCTTAATTAACCCTTAAGGAGCTCCGAATTGAAATCCAGACTCGTGAAAATCCTAGATAATAGGGCGGATTGAGACAGAAACTCGGAGACAGAACCTTTGTTGCTTTCTCTCCGTCCTTGAACAAAACAATAAACAAAAAAAAACTACTTAATATTCTGTGCACATGTCCTGTATGGACCTCTTTGTTAATAATAGAGGGTGTCTAAAGTGTACGGAGCTGAAGACGGCATTGTAATGCGTGGGCTGTACTGGGGGCCAAAGAACAGAAACTGTTCATGCTGAAATTCTCTTTTGTAATTATGTTATCTGATTAAAAAAAACTGCTGTATTCATTTCACTCAAATATCAGACAATCGTCTGGTATATCCACGTATGTCTCGAAAACATTTTTTTTAATTATCTATTCACTGTCCAGGGCTCCCTACATGAATTTCACCCAGACACAAAGTTTAAGAGTAAGTGCTCTGCCCTCGCTGACCCAGGTAAAAAAAAAAAAGTTTACCTGCACTGTAACAAAAAAAAACGACCCTTCTAAATTGTATGGGATAAGGAAAAGAAACTAAACGCATAACCAAAAGCATACCGTTTTTATTAAGTTCCCATTAACTTACAAAAACGAATCACTTAAGAATGTGTCTGGATTAATATAACTCAAGTGCGTCATTTAATGTCAGAACCCTCCCGTCAAATTTTAAAAGTAAACGGACGAAAAAAAAAAGTTTATAACCTTGCATTCCTGTACATTACATCGAAAACGGCACGGAATGCGAGACAGCGACGAGCAGCAAGCCGACCAGAATCAATCCTTTCGATCAGGCGAATGAAACCGATTCCTTTCTTCTAACAAAAAAATAATAGTTCTTCTGCAGGAACATGAAAGTCGTTTGGAAAATCTGGGCTCACGCCACTCGAGATAGAAGAGCTGCACCCGTCTTCGACAACACGAGGTCGGAGGGGGGTGGAATAAGACGACACCTTGCAGCTCAAACCGAGAACCAAGGCCCAGCTGCTTTCAATCGTTGAGGGGTTAGAAAATAAAACGGGGAACTCACCCTTTTTCCTCCCCACCGTGCATTCTTTGTTGACGAGCAGTATTTCCGATTCGGAACCCGCGTCGACTTTAACTAACTTTCCCCACGGCTGACCTCTTCCACGATTCTGCATTGCACGTCTGACGGGGGAGCAGACACCAGCTAGACGAGACGCCAATTCTTTCACCTTCACTCCGCTCCGGGCAGCCCTGAAATCCGCCGAGACCTCCGCAGCCGACACAGCCCGATCCCCGGCACAAAGCCCTGTTACAGATCTACCATCAGCCGAAAACTATGCCCTGGGCGAGGCTAAACGTTAGAAACTAAACTTTACACCCATCATCTGACGAGGCTGAGGTCGCGTCGCTCCTGCCGTCTCAACTCCCGATGAATTAACACGCCGCACTTTCCCACTCAAACACGCACGCCAACACGGCTAAAACCAGCACACGCATGCCTTTCTCGTCCGATCATAGCAAACAGAAACAATACCCTCGCGGTTTTCCCCCCTTTTTTTTTCCAGGCCGTTTTCCAATTACTTTGTCGCCGTCTGCGAGAAGTCCCAAAAATAGACCTTAAATCTTTTGAACTTGGATGCCCAACGGCCTTTCCACCAGACAACCGAAACGAGACCGAAAGCAAAACACGACGCGTCTCGGCATCATCGCTCTCTCACGCATACATTCTTTACAAAAAAAAAAATTAAAAGCCCCTTTCTTTTTTTCCCGTTTTTTTTTTCACTGCTTCAGGAAATATTCGCGTACTTCCTGGCAACCGAAGGTATTTACAGACATCAGCTGATCGGGGAGGGGCGGGGTTTGTGGAGTGGGGGAATGAAGCCGGAAAGGGATAAGACATGTCTTGTAAGGGCATGCACCACGTGACGGGGGAATTTCACTGGGTAGGGACTGGGCTGGGAAGAAAGAGATAATTAATGGAGTATCCCGGATGTTACATGTTTTAAAAAAAAAGAATCCAGACAAATTAGAAGTATAAAACGCTTGCGTTGTAGATCCTGTGCAATTATTAGAAGACTGCAGCGAATTAGATAGCTCGTACACACTGCGGCGTTTTCTAATTGCCTGTAAATAAAACACCAGATAAACATGTTTTTTGTTAAACGGAATTACTGAAATAATGTGAAAAATAATGCGGAATTGCTACAATAATGTGAAGACCAGTATAACTAAGTCTGAAAAGTATCAGACGTTGTTTAACTATTTATTATTAGTAATGATAGTAATAGTGTTCTGTCTTTGTCGTGGTCGAGGATGGGATTTGAATTTGAGTCCATATGTTCCCGTTAACAGACAGTAATGCTGTCCTTGGCCCAGGGGCACCCGAAACTGTAAATGTCAGGTCAGCAAATGCCACACTCCCTGTGGGCATACATGTCCAACACAACAGCATGTAATACAACCGTACTGTATAAAACAAACGCAACAAGCAGAAAAGTTTGAAAAAAAAAAACACAAGCCCAAAAAGTAATTATCTAAAAAAATGATGTTAAATGGCAAATCGTGAGGAAATGAAACTCATTCCAGACCGAGCCTTCACAATCCAATCTTCAATCTGATCAATAACAGCGATGAAGCCTCATGTCAAGTGAAGCACAAGCAATTCAATTGTTTTATGTCTTGACGGAAGAAAGCTCTCACCAGTCAAAGAATCTTTAATTCCTGTGCTTTGGTGCTCTTGAGTGTATGGGGTGGGGGATTTGAATTCTCATGGTGTATCTGCATTGTCCACCCTTTTTTATAACCACTTTATCCAGTTCACCTATAGGTACAGGATACACCCAGGAAGGGGCGCTAGTCCATCACAGGGCACATACGGACACATTAAGGCCAATTTTCCCAGAAGCCAATTAACAATTCCAGTATGTCTTTGGTCCATGAGAGGAAACCGGAGCATATTCAAATTAATCCAAAATAATCAATCAATCAAACAGAGACCTCAAGGCCTCGTGGCACCATGCACGCAGCCCGAGCAGTGATTATTGCCTTGTAGTCTGATGTCAGTGGTTCTCAGTAGCTGAGTCTGGTCCACAAGCAGGGATGGGGGATATCTAAGGAAAACTAGGTTGCTGCTATTAGCTGGTGTTGGTGGACAAGTAGGTAGCGACCTTGCCTCTGGCCTAGAATTTCCAAATGGCCGCTCTAGGAAGGTTCCAAGAGGCCGTTCTGCTCCAGCAGAGCTGTGTAACCCAAGGCCCTGCCTGATTATTTGGCCAATAAAGATGCCAGGGTGCTGTGTGTGAGTGTAGAGGTGTAAGTCCTGCTGTACCAGCTCACTCTCACTTTATGGCTTCCCCAAACTGGCATGTCTTCAATTCTCCCACGGGTTAATTGGTGAAGTAAACACACCTCCCCCTGAATTGCTACTGGGAAAGCTGGCATATAATGACGTCTTTATCTTCATGGGGGATGAAAGGTGCTATACAAATGCAATTAACTGATGATCAAGCGTTGCATTTTTTTCTTTCTTGGTACATCAGGAGGCGAGACTTGCGCAGGATTCCAGCGCTGACCAGCTGGGAAACACAGTGGATCTGCTCACTCGCCTGAACTGAGATTTTTGAAGATTGAGCTCTCTCGGGACAATACTGTCCATAGTAATATGCAGTTTATGCACCGTTGGATTCCTGTGTAGATCCGCTGTAAAGCATTTAGATAAATACCTTCGTTGTAAATGGGTTTCCTCATCATATCTTAGAGAGCTTTAATAGACTCTACCAACAACCCTTGCTGATCTACAAATAAATTGCTGTTTTACAAACGTTTGTTTGCAGATTTTTTCCAAACCCTTCCACAAATGGCTAATGCCAGGATCAGTGTTTTGAAAGAGGGTCTTGATAAGCCTGTAGTGCATTCCACCAGAGAGAGAGAGAGAAGCAGAGTGGTCACTCACACTGCACCCACAGCCCGGGTAGTGGAAACACACAAGCAAAGCCCTCGCCTGCCAAGGGAACCTCTTTCTGTGCTGACAGGAGCAGTTCTCGTCAGCCAGCTTGGAGTCAGCTCATCCCACCGGCTTTCAGACTGGATGGAGGGTCCCGGAGGGGGTTGGAGGTCACTGCTGCTGGCTATGTCTGGGCCAGATAAGAGAGTGACAGGCTGTTTAATCTCTCTCGCCTGTCTGCTTGCACTTGCCAGCCCATCCACTGGGAGGGCTTGATGTCATCACTTCAAATGACTGAAGGACACAGGCCAGGTGGGAGAAGGAGCTCTGAACCAATGCAAAAGTACTACTAATAATAATTGCTTACACTTATATAGTACTTTTCCGGACACTCCACTCAACGCACTTTACAGATAATGGGGATCCCCTCTACCTCCAACAATCTGCAGCACCCACCTGGATGGTGTGATGGCAGCCAGAGTGTGCTAGTACTCTCACCACACACCAGCTCTCAGTGGGGAGGAGAGCAGAGATGGGGGTTATTAGGAGGCCGTGATTGGGAAGGGCCAATGGGAAATTTGGCCAGGACGCTGGGGTTACACCCCTAGTGTTTTTGAGAAGCGCCCTGGGATTTTTAAATGACCACAGAGAGTCAGGACCTCGGTTTTACATCTCATCCGAAAGACGGCACCTTTTTACAGAACAGTGTCCCTGTCACTATACTGGGGCATTAGGACCCACATAGACTGTAGGGTGAGTGCCCCCTGCTGGTCCCACTAACACCTCTTCCAACAGGTACCTTAGTTTTTCCCAGGAGGTCTCCCATCCAGGTACTGACCAGGCTCACAACTGCTGAACTTCAGTGGGTTCTGGTACTGGGGGGGTCTCAGTCACACCTCTCATAGTAGAGGACTGGAACACATCCTTTACTTAATATCTATTTAAATGTGCACCTTTTCTGTTCTAGGGTGGAAACATCACATGTGAGACTCGTTGTTGCCTGGTGCTTTGATTCAGCGCATCTTCTATGCTGCTGTGCTTACTGGAGTAATCAGATTTACAGTGAGCAGTAATGTCCCTAAGAGGGATTTGAACCTTAACCTTTTGTTCAAATTTCCTTTTCCCCTAATTACCACTTCACATTGTGTGAGGGGTACTTCCTCAATGATATGATGATTTGCAACATTTCTTAAAATTAAAGTAAAAACCTATAACATTTACAGATCTCATCACCCAAAGGCAGAGTTTCCCTACTGAAAGTTCACTAAATTTGCTGGTCAGTGAACACCTCACTTGAGGTTGTGACTAGGGTTTTTGGCATTTCCATCTAACAAGGAATGGCAGCAGCCTTCTACACTGACTAACTCTGCCCTTGCATTAAACTCAAAGGTGTGTTTTGGGGCTCCCAGATCAAAGTGGTAGCGATCCTGTTGTCTGCATTGATGCAGCTCAGCGCTGATCATGAGGAATATTGGCAGACACTGCTACTGCCACTTAAATACAACTAAGTGAATTGACACAGAGTCTAAAGGAAGATGCCTAGAACAACACATTTTCATTATATTGCATGCTCTTGCCACAGAGGGGATCCGTATAAAATAATCAATGATTAAGGAGATATTTCAATTAATAGATCAATTTTCCAAGTGCTGAGCAAGGGGGTTTATATGAAGCATTCATTTATCAGTTGGACTTGCACAGAAAATAATTAAAATAGTGCTCAGAGTCTGATCATTAGCATCATAGTGGGGTGGCTGTTGGCATTGGAGAAGGCTGGTCTGACTCCTAAAATCTTTATTTGGGTAGGTAGTGCCAGCTGTTTCTCCACTTAAACTTAAACTGGGTTTAGCTGGAGGTTAGGTGAACATTACTGGATTTTTGGATATCTCTGAAATACACAAGAATACAAGAAAGATTACGAATAAGAAGGGGGCATTAGACTCATCTAGCCCATTTGGTTGCTAGTAGTTAATTGATTCAATCAATCCAGTTAGTCTTCTTAGCATTTTTGTAAGTCTATTGTTTATAACAAGTAACCCAGTAAAAACTTTGAGGAGGTACTTACAGGATAGCATATTGCCATGTACATACATTTCAGACTGACATAATACAATAAGTGGCTTAAATCATTACAATACACCCTTTCTTACAGTATTTGTGTTGTAGGATATGGCTGTTTTGCCTTGCAAAACGTCAACGTTTGACACTTGACAAATTTGGTTTAGAATAACCAGTTATATTTGGTGAAAGCCAGCTTCCAGCCAGCCCTGGGGGCAGTCAGTGTATCCCTCCTCTTCATCACTCTAGTGATCTCATTGAGATCATGTGCTTAAGCTCAGTTGGCAAAGAAATTCTCACCAGCAGGATGTTGATGCATTGCAGATAAGGAGGGCTTCTGTTGAAACCTGTTTGAGGTTTCTGGCATGCCCTGTGTTTTATAAATTCAATCCATGTCTTCTAGTTTTTACTGAGCTCCCAGCCTCAATGAATCTGGTCGAATGACCCATGTGCGAGTGGTGTAGATGGGGTTTCTCGGAACTGCACGCACAGCTGCAGAAAAATGCTTTAGTGATCCACAGAATCAACACCTATTTGCAGTTCTTAAGTACACTTCTGGCACACTCTGATCCCAGCCAGGCCATTTGGTTGTACTTTGTGGTATATGAAATAGTAACTTGGGGGTAACCTTCTCTCTATCATTTAGGATTTTATAAACTTCAATTACAACCACTCTAATCTGTCTGATTAGAGAAATACCAAACTGCTGCTTTAATAGAAGCTGCAAATGATTCCTTAATGCTGGACTAATCTCTGCAATTCCCTCGTTTATTCTGCAGCGCATTATTAATAGTTAAAGTGGAAGCTGATGAGTGTAGGGGGCCCTTAACACTAATGCACTCA